AAGTAAAGGACACCTGCCATTACCTTTATAGAGTGGGAGACCGTCATGTGGGAGGAAAAATTGCTATAGGAGAGGTAGGTTCCCCTTTCTGCCTGGGAGAAGGAGGTGTTAGGGGAGAAGTTGGTTCTAGAGAATGTGACATCTGAGTAGGGCCTTGATGGATAAGTAGGAGTTCACTGGGGTAGCAAAGAAGGATATTCCAGGCTGGAGGAACAGCATGTGCTAAGGCCCAGAGATGAGAGGTAACAAAAGGTAGATTGGGGCCAGCAGCTTAAAAAAAGGCCTTTTAGGTAGATTAAGGAGTTTGATTTTATTCCAAACACCATGGGTAGCAAATGTTTTGTATTTTAGAAGGACTGACCCAATTGCAAACCCTGTTCAACGTACAACAGATTCTTTAGAACTCCATATGGATGAAGGCTCTTTTGTAAAGGTGTGTCTCCCATTGTGTCACGATCCAACTTAGCTCAGTAGCAGCTTCCTTTCTCCCTGACCATGATGTCTGCAGACCTCCCGAACGCCTCTGCTTACTTCTTCCTCTGACCACGAATCAGTCTCTCCTTGATCAACGTTGGCTTTCTTCCATTCTCCATTCTTGCTTGGTGCCTCAGAGGCTGTTCTGTCTGTCGGGAGCAATTCCTGCTCCATCAAACATCAACACTTACTTATCTTCCAGGTCCCAGCTTTACCATCCTTTCAGGAGCCTTTCCTGACTCTCCCAGAGTAAGTCAGTCCTATGATGAGAATCGGCGGTGGCACCTGCACGTCCTGTTCTTTGTCCTTGCCTCCTTTGCAATTGGTTGACATTGTCTTTCTGCCAGCTCCTGAGCTCCTCCAGGGCTGGGCTTCATCTTCCGAGTTTGCCACCATATCTCTGATACCTAGCAGGACACTGGGAAGTATTTATGAATGGATGGAGGTAGGGGATTCATTTAGAAATTTCATACAGGAGACCAGATGAGAGATAAAAGGGCTGGAGTGAAGCCAGCTGCAGTGGGAATGGAGAGGAGGGACTGTGTAGGCCAGACTTCTAGGGTAGCACACGCTGGATCCCACTGGCTGTGGCGTCCTGGAAGGGTGGAAAGAGGTGAAGAGGATGATGTGAAGGACTGCAAACACATTTTTAAAAATATATATTTTTATTGATTTCAGAGACAAAAGGAGAGGGGGGGAGAGATAGAAACATCAATGATGAGAGGTAATCATTGATCGGCTGTCTCCTGCATGCCCCACACGGGGGACTGAACCCCGCAACCCGGACATGTACCCTGACCGGGAATCGAACAGTGATTTTTCTGGCTCATGGGATGACGCTCAACCACTGAGCCACGCCGGCCGGGCCTGTAAAAACATTTGCCCGCTCTCCCCACATCCTTACCCCTGCCAGTAGAAGAGGGAAGGGTTTTGTTCTCTGGGATTTGCCTTTCTGCAGCCCCTCTCTATAACAGCCTCCCAAGAGAAGCGGGCTTGCTAATCACCAGGCAGAGGCCAGACATGGATGAACGGGCAGGATCTGGTCCCTGTAGTCAGAAAGTTCATGGCCATGCAGGGCCACTGTGTGGCTCTTCCTGTCTTTTTTGCAGAAACCCCCCTGGACAGGGCCTCGCTCAGAGCAGGCCTTGCCCCTTTCTATCTGTGTCTGGGCGGATGTCAGACCACAGCTTGCTCTCAGGTCTCATCATCAGGCGTTCAGTGTGGAGGAGAAGGCACCAGGGTCTTCCCTCGAACCTCCCAGCCTAGGGAACCTTGTCCAGGCTCTGCCCAGGGGTCCTTTCTTCTCGGTGGGCTGTTCTCAGAACATAGACCCCCGAGGGGATGAAATGAGAGATGAATTAGGCTCTCCAATTGCCTAATATCCAACATTGCCCAAGTCCCAAGATATTAGTGAAAGGTATCAATATTTACCTGATGCACCTAACGTAGCTAAATAATAAGCAGAATGGTAATGTGCTCGCTACCCAGTGTCCTTCCCTGCTGGGCTGGCGTTCAGTTCAGGTCTCTCGAGGTTGACATCCTCAGCTGCGCCTTAAGATTCTTTTGTTTTGAATTCAGTTGATCTAAAATTAGTCTGGAAGCCTTTTTTTCTTTTTGATATTTACAAATGTGGTATATTAAATAACAACTATGTAATATAAGGATGTGCCAATGGGCCCCAACCTGCAGAATGATCTTAAAACTTTACTCTCTCTTGTAATTTCTTGTAATCTGTTAACATTTATATGACAAAATATGTGACATGTGCCAAAATGTTCTGATTATGGCTTGATCATGACTATTAGAACACTCCAATTTGGAAAATTCTTGTCCAGTCAGGAAAACAAACCACATTCCATGTTTCAAACAGATGGCATTTAGGCAGAGAATTAGTTACACTGGACGTGCAAAGTAGAAATAACCCAACAATTAATAATTGCAGAACAGCTTCTATCCCCAGCACTGGGGAAACAAAAGGGAAGAAGTGGTCTCATCTGGCCTAGGAGGGGGCTGGTGCTCAGACCCCCGAGGGAGCCATCAACCCAGCAGGACTGCCATGCTGAGGGGCAGAGGGTGCGGGGGGCGGGGGGGGGGCTGTGGCATGGCTGGTGGTCTGACCACAGAAGGTCATAGCCCAGCTACTGCCAGCACCGCTACAAGGAGGCCAGAGCTGGTACTGGACTTTGAAGGGGGTGTAGTGAGGCTGGTCTTAGCAGGAAGTAGCAAAGCGACCCTCTGCGGCTTTCTCTCTCCTTGCCTGCATTTCTCCCTCTGAGTCCTTGTTTGGCTGAACCAGCAGGAAGCCAGCGGGCAGGGACGCCTGGGAACAGTGGTCTGCAGAGCCCACTGTCCAAGCTGAAGGGGCATAGGGAATAACCAGAGCTGCAAAAGCAGATTTGTGGACAGGCTCATTTCAAGGCTCCACAAATCACTCCCACCTTAAACGGAGATTAGGCCTCCTGAGTTGTATTCTGATAAGCTTATCTGGTACAAGTCCAATAAAGTTAAGCTCCCGCGGATAGGAATGAAGAAGTGGACGTTCCCACTTGTCAATCACAGGAGAAGAGGCAGGTCATGATTAAACGGGTGCAAACAGTGAACCTTGGACTGGAGGGGAGGGGACGCCTGCTTCTCTCTGGGTGTGGTCTCTTCAGTTTGACCTTGGAGAGGTCGGAACGCTCTCAAGGGCACTTCTTGGTGGTGGATGTGGCAGACAGCCTCCCTCTCCCTTACTCAGCTGGGGCTGAGGCAGAGCTGCGTCAGCCACCAGCTTTCTGTTGCTCTCTGGGTTCATGGCCCTTTGTTCTGAGGAACCATGGAGGGAGTGGAGGAAAGACTTATGGGGCATGGAGGCCCATGGAGGGCCCTAGGGCCAGCTCCTGGGTTATAGGAACCCTCCTGAGAGGGTTAGCTAGAGTAACGTGGGGAGACACCTCCATTTACCCTAAGCAAAGGGGGCCAGGCTGTTGTTCTTCCCCATGTGAATATTCTCTTCGTTGTCAGTCTCAGAGTTGTGGGACTTAACTTGATTAATGAAACTGGAAAAGAGATCCCAAGGGTTGAGAGATGTGGGACTTGATTAATGAAACTGGAAAAGAGATCCCAAGGGTTTGGGGGGGGGGGCAGGTAGTAGGAATAGAGCTTGGAATTCCCCTCCAGATGTTTCCTTGTCCAGTGGTTCTTGGGCATCTCTGCCATGCCAGCCTCTACCGACTCCAGAGTCCACCTTCCTGGGAGGTGCCCATGGGGAGCCACAGGGCCTGGGGTGGTGAGTCTGGGAACACTTTGTGTCAGGTACACACCTCCCGCCTCACCCCAGCCCCGAGCTCACCGTTTTCTGTAGCGAGAGAGGGTGCCATATGCACGCCTCTCTGGGAGAAGGAGACAGGAAATTACATTGAACTGATGTCTCAATGGGCGATGGCAGATTCTTCGCTGACAAGGTTTTTATTGTCAGTGGATGTGAGGACTCTGGCATGGGGGGAAGGAGGGGGAAGATGCCAGGCAAGGGTAAAGCGGGCACAAAGAAAGATGGGGAGAGACGGTATTGCTCGGTGATTTTGCCTAAGGTCAGCCAGAAAGGGCTCTCTCTCTGACCTTGGTCAGTCTGAGTTGGATGCGCGCAGCCCCATCTCCCAGAGCAGAGGCTGCGAACAGGGTGAGTGTGTGCCCCACTCCATCCCTTGTTCACTCTGAGGCCCTTGGGGACGATTTCACATAGTGTTTCTCAAGAATTTTTAGTGCACGCCCTCTGCGGTTAAGCTTAGAACAAGCTTTCTAAGGTCTGTGTTTCGACTTTTGCTTCCTCTCTCTGTTAAGAGCACTGCTGTTTAGCTTAAAGCTGCTATTTTACAAATGAGAACATCCAGGCTCAGGAGGGGAAGGGTCACACATGTAGGCTCCCTCCTGGCCTTGCTCTGTGTCACAGCTATTTCTCTTGGTGCCTTACCTGTAAAATACAGGTGCCTGGGCGGTGGTGGTGCGGGGGTGGTCATCTAGCTGGCTGCAGGTCACGTGCCTTTGCATCTGAGTGTTTGGAAGGTGGGCATGTGCATGGACAGGCATGTATATGTACATGGACAAGCATGTGTGTGTACATGGGCAAGTATATATGTACATGGGCAGGCGTGTGTGTTTAAGGGTAGGCATGTGTGCATGCAGCTTACGTGGTGGCTGTCACCCAGCAGTGCTCCCAGGAGAGGAGCACAGCAAAGACCACTCCGCCTGGGGCGCTGTCCATCAGTTCCAAGTCTGGAGAGGGTGTCCCCGGAGCCATCGCACCCAAGGAGGCCGCCTTTCTCGCTGCTCGGGGAGACAGCCCGTGGACCACTGATGCCCTGTGGTTCTGATGCAAACCGTGCAGCCACGACCTTCCTGCCTGCACTTTTCCACCTTCACAGCTCCGTCTCCCTGCTGAAGTGAGGTCTGCAGGACGCTGTTCCAGCAGCAGCCACGGCAGCAGCCAGAGCAGCACCGGCACCCTCCAAATTGGGACTCTAGCCCTTTAAATCTGCTCAGTTACCAAAAAAGAAGAGGCACCAGACCCTGTTAATTAAAGCTCGCCCTGGTCCATCATTCTGAGGAGCTGCAGTGCTCTGCTCCTTCCTGATGGCTTAGAGCTTCTCCTTAACTCCCAGCCATGGATCTTGGAGAATTTCCCCCGAGATCAGCAGGAGGTATGATCCTTATCGATGGCACTCTGGGGCTTATGTGGCTCGAAATCAATAGTACAACCGACTGCATGGATGCTGCCTGGCCCCCCTTCCTTCCCCTCTTCCCCTCTGCCTCCTCTCCAATTTCCCAGCTTGTGTTTAGTTGAGACAAATCAAGTTTTCATGGGTTTCAGAGGAAGGGGAGGGGCCGGGGGTGTCTGGAGGTAGCTCCCAATGTGTTCGCTTCGGTCCTGGCTTCACCCGGCTGCCTCAGGGGCTGGAAGGAGCCAGGAAAGATGTTTCTTCAAGCTCGGGATCATGCAAACCCATCCCCTCCTGGCCGGGTCCCTTCCCTCCGGTTAGAATGAAAAGGGCATAACCCTGACTTGACTGGCTCCTTAAATCAATGAGCTGCCGGGTCAGTGTGAAGATGGCTGTGCCCGTTATCGGGAAACTCATTGCATACAACTTTCTCTCCGTGCGTTGTCCCGGCAGGAACACCTGTCCCCCAGGCTCCCCTCCCCTGTACTCTGAATGCTGCTCGGTGAAATGCTTGCTGCAGGGTTTCAGGAATCCATACCCCTCTCCCTGTGCCTTTTGAGGAAACTCACTTCCAGACGAGTGTAAGGTTCTGTTGCAAAGAGTTGTTTTTATTCAGGAATCTGCTCTAGCCTGGCAGAGAGGAGAGATTTATCTTCTTCTTCTTTTTTTTTTTTTACATTGCATTTTGCAAATTGTACTAAAGCCCAGAGAACATCTATCTGCAAATCCTTCTTTGATTTGTTTTTGCCCCCACGGCTTCCTCCTGGGAAATGCTCTTCTCGAGTCTTACCCGAAGGAAAGGTTCCCCCTCAGTCAGCTTGACACGACTTCACAGATGTCCCTGAAAGCCAGGCCCTGGCGGAGGGAGCCATTTTCATCCCCCGAGTAGCAGTCCCCAGGGGCCCGGAGCAAGGGGCCATGTGCCTTGAGAGGAGGCTTCCAAACTGCCCCCCCTGCCCCCCAGGAGAGTAGCTTAGGAGGGAAAGCCCTTGGACTGACTTTCCCAGGGGCTTTAAAACACGGTGGGCGATTAACATCGCTATTCGAGCTTTGAGAGGGATCTGAGCCAACACACAGCTCACAGGAGTGGGGATTTCCCCCCAAAGTTACTGCCAGCCGATCCTAAACTGTTTACACAAACAGTTACGGTGTGTGCAGCGACATCCTTTCCAATCCCCCAGCATAAGGCTGGGAACTTTCTCCGATGACTGTCCCGGAAGCCAGCATGTCTGCCTCCCAGATGCCACGGGTTCCATGTGATTCCAAGTCTCAGAATAATGAACTCTCAGCTGTGGCTTCGGCTAGGAGACTAGTCGCAGCTTGATGGAATTCCTAATCACCGTGCCCATCGGTGGGCTCCCTGATAGGTTCCCAGGGAGGCGGCCAGGGAGAGAGGTTTCCTGCAAACAGAAGCCACCGCGGAGGTAGGATGAGGGAAGCCCAAGCAGAATGAGGAGAGGAGGCCTGTGGGAGGCGGCATTCTGGGCTGGGTGCGCTCCTCCAGGCTCTGCTTCCCAGCTGGTCTGTGAATGGCTCAGCGAGGGTCGGGCTCACGCCTGGGGCTGGGGATGTGAGTAGGACTGTGGTCCTGGAAGCAGGGTGACCTGAGCTCATAGAATCTATGACATAGATGGAGGGCCCAACCCGGGAGCTCCTCTCATAGCTCTTGTCCCCCACCTTCTGGGGAACCCACCGTCCTGGGCCCTCTGCCCCTCCAGGTGCTATTGCTCAAGAGTCCACACCCTTCTTCCGCCCAGAGAAACGGGGCTTCACAGAGTCCCTCCCAGGGGTAGATGTCACTGTTGTGTGATCATGTTCTTGGACTGGTGGGATCTGTGAACAGTGAGGAAAGGAGTAGACGGTTCCTTTGTGTCCATTTTTCTTTGCAACTTAATGATGTATGTATGTGTTTTGTTTTTAATTTACTGGATGGCTGCTGGCTTTCAAGGAGCTGAAAACAGATCCTAATGGAGCCTGCTTAGACCTGGCGACGTGGTGGTTTTGTGGTCCTCGGGTGTTCTTTCCGCGGCCTTGGCGGTGCTCCCATCACCAGGGTGTTGGAGTGGAAAGGGCACGGCCTTGGGAGATGACAGGTCTTCACTGGCATCTCAGTTCCCCATCTTGTGTGTGGCCTACGCCAGTTACCTAAGCGTCTCTGGAGCCTCAGTTTCTTCTTCTGTAATATGGTGAAGTTGTCAGGATTAAATGGAATAATTTAGCTAAAGTCTCTGCACACAGAAGGTACAAAATAATGTTTTCCCCTTCCAATTGCAAGCATCTGCCTTGTGTTAAGACTTCAGTGGTTCTCAACCTTGGCTGCACATTAGAATCACCTGGGAATCTTTTTAAAATCCTGATTTCTGGGCCTCATTCCTCCGGAAATCAGGATTTTAAAAAGATTCCCAGGTGATTCTAATGTGCAGCCAAGGTTGAGAACCACTGTGTTAAGTAAACCTTAATGGGGAGGGTGGAACCTTTTAAACAGGTCCAATGGCTCCTTCACTGGCCCTGGCCCCTGACTTCTCTGGGGCAGGGGCAACCTCTTCCGTGTCATCACACCCTCCCGATGGCCAGCATAGGACCCAGTGCGGGGCTGAAACTGCATAAAGCATTCATACACGAAGGTCTGTGGGCATTTAACCTTCAACATAGGTGATTTCTAATGACTAAGCGAAACCACTTCTCCCTCAATCACTTAAGAAATACAACTGAGCCAGACAGATCAAAGAGTCCCATGACTGTAATACATTCGGACTAAAATATGTCCTTTTGAGAACTGTAATAAAAAACACCTTCTGCACAAGGACCTGCGCCAGGTGCCTGTGGCTTCCTAGAGCGTCCCTGGGGCCAGGCTGCTGCGGAGGAGAGTCCAGGTGACCACTGCCCCCCTGGGCACGTGCTGCTTTCTCTTCCTCGTGCTCTGGAGAGAAGAGGCTCTGAGGAGGGAAAACAGCTCTAGTTGGAAGGAGGCACGTTCCCTGTCTCTCTGCTGTGTAGAACAACTCAATCAATAGCTCAGTCAATTAATCAATAAGTCTGCCTGTATGTAGCCACTACTATTGGGGAAAGTCATTGATTTAATACATATATATCAAACTAATGATAATAATAACACCTAATATCATCACTGCCACCTAATAGTCACTAGGGTCTCCTTGGCTCCCAGCTGGGGGTACTGGCCTGAGAGTGACACAGCTCTGCTCCGGAGCAGGGGACCAGGAGTAGACAGGGTGGCCCTGGAAGACTGGTAGAGGCCATGACAAGCCAGAGCCAAGTACACTTGGGAACACAGGAGAGATGTTTAAAATGGTTCTTCTAACTACTGCGTTGAGAAAAGGTTGTAGGTGGCAATGGTGGAAGCAAGAAGGCCAGCTAGGAGGCCCATAAAAAATCCCAGTGCGAGGGGATATGGCTAGACCAGAGGGAGCAGTGGAGGTGTGAAAAGTGCTAGGAATCTGGATTTTTAAAGTTTTTCCCTCCCTCCCTC